CCAAGACATTAACAATGCTCTCTTGCAGACTCGGATCCCGTGTTGATAATGCATATGCTAGGCTACAAAATGCAGAGAAAAATGTCGGTGACCTTGAGGTACAACTATGTATTGAGGAACAATGGGCTATAGGAAGCACAGAGTATAACCGTTACCAGGAGGCCAAGTCTATTTCAAAGTATCAAACAACGGTAGATGATTTGGAGTGTCTCATTGTCATGAGGCTCTTTGAGCTGTCGAAGATTTTGATGCCAGGGACAGATAAGACAATCCTTTGCATATTCATATATCTACCCTCAGTCTTATGGTATAGGCTACAAGCTTTGACAGCATATATCAAAAGGCTTGCAGCGGCGATCAGAGGCCATCTGCGATGCCATAAATTGCTACAATGTCCAAGCGGATCTTCTCAACCCACCACGACCAAAAATATCCTGGAAGGATATAGCCAATTTTACATTTCTTGGTGAATTTAATCTTTTACGCGATGCACGAACTGATATTTGTATGCAGGACTGGACAAAACCAGCAAACAGGGCGGCTTGTGTCAAGTATTTCAAGCTATGCCGGGCTCGTGAAGAAATTGTTCGGTTGAATGTTGAAATGTGCTGTTTACAAACAGCAATATACAATGAGGAAAATAAAGTTACTCAAGTCATTCAGGAACTTAATCTATCTAATCCCATGCTTGGAGGAGAGCTAAAACAACAATGGCTGTGGCATTCAGCTGTAAATCAAGTTCACTTACGCTGATTAGATTACATAGAATCAATGCCCAAATTTTCAGGGAAACATGGCATAGGTGTTCGACTACAAGATTGCCTTGCCACTGCTGTCAAAAAACAGCCTGCCCCCTCAGGTGGTATGTTATTCTTTCTTTTTTGTAATTCATATGTTTAAAAGTGTATTTCAGACGTGGTGGATATATCAAACGAAATACTGGATACAGACTTGCTTGATTCAGATTTAACAACAAGACAGGAGCATGCAGAAATGGTCTATGACACTTTTAACTTCATTGGAACTCTATCCTGAGCACTGTAGTAGTTTGGTACAATATAAATGTTTCGTACAATATAACAGAAGTGCGGCTGTGGGTGGCACTTGCAGAACTTTATTTCAAGACAAAGAGGCTGGTTCTTACATTATTTTATATCCTCTGACTCTGAGGGTCACTTGAAGGAGCTTTCACTGTAACTCTCATATCTTCATTGCACCACTGACCGATAGGGACAGGACACAGTTTACATTTTGGAGTTTAGCAACACTTAGTAGAGTACTACTTGCTCAGTTCAAACTTGTGCCTTGCAACCATGTTGACCCCCAATTATGAGTATTGGACCAAACATGGATGCAGTGTTGGATAGGTTTGGTTTAGACGACATTTTCATATTGAAACTTTGGACAGAGCTCATTGTCTCTGTACAAAGCAGCCATTGGGAGGCTGTGTTGAGATCTCCAAGCTGGAATCTTACATATGAGCAGGCCTCAAATCTTTGCAAAGCTTTGCTTGTTGATTCAGCTGACACTCTTGTTGTACGTAAAATATCTTATTCATTGAAATGTCTCCTCATGCTGACAAGCTACACATCTACAACATTGTCCGCTTTCTACGGTGTGGTGTACGTCTTCTTACTGTTACACGTAGCTTGTGCCTTCGTTGTTTTGTCTTAGACTTTAATCTCAATGTTTTGTATGTTTTTCAATTCCGGGAATATAAACATGTGCCCTCCCGTTGTCCGAGTCAGTTCAGTATAAAAGTAGTGTAGGGCTACTGATAAACTTCGGTGCACACCCACTCTCTGTGTTGATACCCATCATCTCTTCTCTACAAGGTCTATTACCCATGGCTGGACACCAGGTATACACGGTCAGGAAACGAGGTGCTGGGGCCCGTACTCATACCAGCCCCATGATACCCAAGGCCTAACCCGCATTTGGCCCTGTGTGTGACTTAGCAAAGAAGCAAGGGCTATTATTGCAGCAAAGCACAGTGAGCGATCCCAACAGCTCAGGAATGATCTCAAAGCCGCTTGGGAATGCATTGACAATACAATGATGGCCATTGCAACATCAAATTGCAGGGGTTATCGGCGTGTCCAAAGTGACCTCTATTTTGGCCAAGTCTTAAAGTGCCAAGAACAAAAGAAGCTGAGTGCGTGGAATGTTTTTTGCTGGAAGAAAAGTTGTGAGATAGAACAAAGCAATAGTAGGTGCTTTACTTACCAACACCATAAGACTAAAATGACCTGACCCATTTGTAGAAGGGAGTGGGACGGCTGTCCTACAAAGCCTTGTTCATGACCACAGTGCCAAATACCACACACTCACTTCAGACGAGAAAGCATGTCTCGTCGAAGACTTCAGAAACCACAGAAAAAAAAAAGGAAAGGTTTTTGTATATCTACAAAATCAAGAGTGAATGATGTTACACAAACACTCCAAGCTGTAGAGTCGGAAGTGAGTATTGACCCCAGACATCAACATATATACTTACTTATTGCTTGCAGCTCAGCAACTTGCGCTACTGAACCGGAGTGGAGACCTTACTATATTGTGCTTGAGTCACTACCAACTTGCCATTGTGTGGGATTTCTTTTGCGACAGAGGGTGCTGAGGAATTTAGGCCTTCTGTGATGGGTATCGATCAGGACCTCGTAACAAAACTTGAGGGTTATGCTGTACAGGGTATAAAAGGCAAATTATAAAAGTTGTTAAAATGAGCAGGAACACTTACTAGTCAGCAGGTGCAGCAAGTAATCACCGACAGCGTATTGCTAGTGTCCAAGCACAGATTCGCACAGAAATAACAACAAAGCTTGGTCAGTAAAGCATATTTTCTGTTGCCTAGCAAATCGACTAACCTGCCTTAGCCGAGATTACTGACAATCCCAATGCCAAGATGCAATGGGCACAGTATTGGTGGAATGTTGTTCAACGTTACAGAGTTGATATTAGAGGCTGGCCTGAGAACATTGCTTTCAAGAACTTGAGTGAAGCAACAAGCACTCTTCCAGACCTTGAAATGCTGTTGCAAAAATGGCAATCTGGAGCAACACACTGGAAAAGTATTAGCAAAGAAGGGTATATGGAAATGTTGAATAACCGCAACAGAAAACTTGATAGTGGGGAAATTGCAGACACCCGTAGGCAAACTAGATCAGACAAGGGAACCAAACAGCTCTGAAGCCCTGTCAATGAGCATACAATATCCAAATGATGATGCATAGATATACGTACCATTGATGGCAAAACTCCTTTGACATCTTCTGCAGTCGCTATTCAGGTGGGAGGATCAACAGTCCCAAGTCAACCACCTGCCGGTGCTATTGCATCCCTCCAAAGGTCCACTGATTGCTATCACAATTCCTTGCTGGAAGACACAGGTCTTCTCTTCTCTCTGAACCCTGTTCTTGACCAATTTGAAGACATCCTTACAAATTTTGACCGTGCATACTAGAGGCCACATGATGATGTGACACAGATGCTTGAAAGCCAACATATTGCCACACTGTTTCCAGAGTTAAGACAGCCGCTACATCTGGCTGATCAGTCAATTGACGAACATACAGAGTGAAATTGATGGATGGCACTTACATAGGCCACATGCTCTTCAACAGAGCATTACTCCTTGTTATATTTTGTTGATAGAGATCAGACGGCCATTCTGTTTAAACGGTATATAGCACTTCTGTTAGTATAGTTTATAATACATCATAATGTGGACTTACTTCCGTGGCTGTGATGCTAGACAACAATAATGAGATGATGGTGGGGAGGCAACAATGACGACAGTGGGTAGGGGGTGATGACAGCAACAATGGGGAGACAACAACAACAACAATGGTGGGGAGACAACAATGACGAGAAACAAGGAAACAGCGTGGGAAGAGCTGGTCCTGAAAGTCGTTGTATATATTGTGTATGCGGAGGCCCTCGGAATCGATAAGCAAAACCCAAATAACTCTGCCAACGGCTAGTTCTGGATCTCGGGCAGGATTTAATGCTGGTGTCTGGAGCTTTCCGTATGAGAGCCTTGTAATAATCAGCCCAGTCAGTAAACCATCCTTTATTAGAAGGCTGACTAACTGGGAGGACCAGGTGGTTATACATTCCTAAATTTTGAAAATAAAAATTTGGTGTACTGCATTGTATACAGACCTTGGTGTATACTGTTAAGTGGCCTTTTAGGTGCCAGGGGTGTCCGGAGGGCGATGGTATTTACAAGATATCGACTCATCATATATTGAACTAGGTAAGCAAGGGAGCTCAATTTTTCGAACTGATAATGCTGTGAATGTCACATGATATGCAACATGTCACATAAATATATACAAGTAGTCATGTGAGGTATTGATACTCCGTTACTCCACCATTCGCCCATCAACTGGGAAAAATTTTGTCAGGTCGCCATCCGTAACCATCCCCAACCATAAGCCTCCGCGCTCAAAATTCTGCAAACTGCTCAACCTAACTTCAAGCCAGGGCTGTTGTTTTCCCCCATTGTCTTCAGACTTCCTTCTTTAATCCAATAATCACAACGTTAATCAACCATACCGTCCCTCCTAGGAAACAGAACCAGACGAATGTCCTTCTTCTCTGGTAGGAAGAAGCATCCAAGCGCAAGCAAGCTTCAAACCAATGCAGCTATTACTCAAACTCCCAGCCAGGCACTCGCTCAGCTAGCTCCCAAGGAAGCGCAAGCCCATCAACAACCACATCCACCGGCAGCCAGAGAGAAAGATGTGTAAGTATTTAGCCCTATAATTCTATCTCGTGTACTTCATATCATAACCTTTTCTTCATGACCATATAATTTGTCCCTGGACAAATTCAGTGGAGCACCCACAAACGGTGTCGGGAGTTCAGTCTCTCTCCAGCCACAGTCACGCCTCCAAACCCGTGGTGCAAGCCCAAGCCACACACCACAGTCTCATATATCATCCCAACAGTCATCACAAACGTCGCAACCTCTTCAGCAGCAGCAGCGACCAGCGTATCCTTGGTCAGCACGACGACTTCTCCTCTCTCCCCCTCAAATGATCCCAAACGCAGACGTTGTTCCTCCATCGTCTTCTTCTCCTTCCCCATTCCCACGTTATGGTCATGCCCTTCCAGCCGCAGCAACATCTAGTGGTGAACTATATCTTTTTGGAGGCCTAGTCCGTGAAAGTGCTCGCAATGACCTTTATGTCTTCTCCACTCGGGACCTCTCTGCGACTTTAATGCAGACTGCGGGCGAAATTCCTTCATCGCGCGTTGGACATGCGAGTGCTCTGGTCAGCAACGTCTTAGTAGTCTGGGGAGGTGACACCAAAACCGATCCACAGTCTAAGTCGACAGATAAACAGGACGATGGTTTGTATCTGCTAAATTTAGGTGAGCATTCGACCATTCACATACCTTCCTAACTAACGTTCCCGATGAAGTATCCCGTGAATGGACCAGAGTTAATGTCCATGGACCGTCCCCTGCTGGGCGATATGGTCATGCAGTTACTATGGTCGGCACGAAGTTTTTCGTTTTTGGCGGACAGGTTGACGGAGAGTTTTTGAATGATTTATGGGCATTCGATCTTAATTCTTGTAAGCCGCAATAATCATCATTGATACGAGATGATCATAGTTCTGCTTGCAGTGCGAACCAGGGCAGCTTGGGAATTATTTGAGCCTATACCTGGGTCTGAACGACCTGCCCAACGTACAGGTCATGCCTGCATAACTTTTGGTGATCGAATTATTGTGTACGTTTATGGACGTCTTACCTCCTCGTATCTCATGATTTTCTGTAGTTTTGGTGGTACTGATGGACAGTATCATTATAATGATACTTGGTCATTTGATGCCAGCACCAGAAGATGGACTGAACTTCAATGCATTGGATTCATCCCTTCTCCACGGGAAGGACATGCAGCAGCGCTTGTGGATGATGTTATATACATATTCGGTGGTAGAGGCGTAGACGGCAAGGACCTTGGTGACCTTGCCGCCTTTAAAATGTCTAGTGAGTACACATTTCAAATCTACACGGCTAGTGGGCTCGAGCTGTATAGATCAAAGGTGGTATATGTTCCAAAACATGGGGCCATCCCCTAGTGGCCGTTCCGGGCATGCCATGGCTTCGATGGGTAGTCGAGTCTTCGTTTTAGGTGGTGAATCTTTTACACCCATGAAGGGCGATGATCCCAGTATCATCCATGTATTAGACACAAGTACGTTCTATCGCTATTTTGGATATGAAATTATTCAAGGGCTTGTCAGAACATATCAAATACCCCGATTCGAATAAAGGACTTTCAGGTGGGGTGGTACGCAAGGCGTCTGCTGGTGCACCGCCCGTTCAACAATCCGCTTCTATATCCACGCAAGGAAGTTCAATAATGAATAATTCTCGCTCGTTGTCTCCATCTGGTCCCTTAAGTTCCGATATTGAAGACTTCCGGCGTGCTGTGTCACCTCCTGGCTCTAGACCGGGCATTAAAATCTTCAGTGATAACTCTCAATCTATCCCAAACAACGGCAAGGGACAGGCACAAACCCATTCGAGAAGAGACAACGATGACATGCTTGGGATTGACGAGGGACACTTGGCGGATGGCGAGTCGAAGGATCGAGCAGCGTATTCAGAACATGAGCGGAGTCCTACATCTTTTGGTTCGGTCAACAGAACGACATCTCCTGTATCTCAAAAACATGATGGTCCGCAGCCGCTGAACACTGCTAATGTCTCCACGAGCATGAATGGGCCGAGTGCTCGCAGTCCATCGCCCGTAATCGACCGTAGTAAACCACCTCTTGGCGCATTTTATCTCCCTGGTTTACCCGTCGTCAACGGATATGGTTCTTCTCATGATGCGAAGTCTGGGTCAACAGGTAACGTGACTGCAGACTTGATACGAGACTATAAAGTCATGGAGATAGAAGTCGAACTGTTGAAGAAAAGGGAAATTTGGATGAAGGCTGCGCTTGTGAAAGCATCTCGCTCTGGTTTCGTGTATCCTGACGAGGAATCTTTTAAGGCAGAAGATTTAAATTTGAGCGGGGTTCCTAATGATTCGAATAATCGCGCGGTTGCAGACATGCTGCTCAACTTTAAGCACTTCAAGGCTCAATTACAGGTATGGGCCACCTACCTCTCGGATGTTTAGACACTAATTTACTGATGATTGAAAAGACCTCTCTTGTGACTCAAGCACGTGAAGCTTCTCAGCGGATTGCTGATGCGGAACGCGTCCAAACGAGCGCTGTTCAAGAGGCGGCATATTACCGCGCTAAATTAAGTGCTTACGAGGCTGCAGCTCACAGGGATGCCGCAAGGTTGGAGCGTGATCACATTAGCGAGCTTGAGCGCCAACTATCGATCTCATTATCAGATCAGGCGATTCACCGTAGAAGGATAGAGGATCTCAGCGACTCGTGCTCCCTTCAAACCACCCTTTTGGAACAATCGGAAGCGCGAGCGATAGATGCAAACAAACGTGCTGATATCCTGGAAGAATCACGAAATAAAATTGTACAGAAACAGTCCGAGCTGCAGGATCGTTATGCTGCAATGGAAGCTGCTCTTCGAGATCAGGCAGACAGACTCCTTACTAAGACATCGCTGCTAGAACAGAAGGAGACAGAACATTCGCATGCTCGCAATCAACTCCAAGAACTGGAACATTCACGGGATCAACACGTTCGTGCACTTGACCAAGCCCGCACAGCACTCCAAGCAGCATCGTCTCGAGCAGAGGTGCTTGACATGCAACATCAACGTGCTCTTGAGCATATTACTCAACTCGAGACTGATTTGGCTGAGCTACGCGGAGAGCTGGAATCACGAACATCGGAGATTGAATCTGCAAGGGGCAGACTGGTAGATGTTGAGAATTCTTGGGCAAAATCGCGCGAGGAGGCGGATGCTTTTAGAGCCCTCACTACCGGCGGTCTCGGAGAATTGCTTGACTCACACCGAGATTTGAAGGCAGACGAGGATCGCTGTGTACGACGTCATACCGAGAAAATCGAAATTATGGAAACGGAAAACGCCTCGTTACGCAAGCTGGTAAGGGAGAGTACGCAACGCCTGGAGGAGATGCAAAAGGACTTCAATGAGGAGCGACATAAAGTCAGGGAGACGGAATCTGATCGATCCTTCCTGCGGTCACAGATCGTGGGTTTGCGCGCCCAGCTATCAAGTGCGACCTCCGACAGCGGGCGCCTTCGCAAGGATTTAGTTGAGAGATATTCTGAGTTACGGGAGAAAGGAAAGGAGGCATATGAAGCTAACGTCCGCTTGGCGATGTTGCGCAGTTATCTAGCAGAGCATGGTATCGGCCGTTGTGATGATGATCCAGGCCCTAGATTCACTGAAGAGTGCTCATCACGAATAGCAAGCCTTCAAGAAAGATTGGCAGAGGAGACTCGACTACATGAAGACGTCGAGAAAGAGCTTAATGAGGTTCTACAACAGAAAAAGGGTGTCGAAGCGCGGGTCAATGTTTTATCCGAGCAATTCGATCGAGTGCGATCAACCCAAAGTCCTGCTAATCGTGATGATTCAATCGTGCTTGCGGCTCAAGCTCGGGCGGTTGAGGCTGAACGAAGGCTTGAAGAGACTGAGCGAGGCTTCAAGGTTCGAATGCAACAGATGGAAGAAGACTATCAGCTGGCAGTTCATTACGTGAAGTAAGTAGTACCATAGCTGTTGTTCTGACAATCATTCTCAAATATAATATAGAGGGACTGAGAAAATGATGCGGAAAATGAAGGATGAATTAACGAAACAAAAAACGACAAACGCAAATCTACAGACGGAGCTGGACGCTGGACGAGGCAGATCTAGTACAGAACCAGGTTCTCGGACACGTGGCTTCAATGGCCACAATACTCCCCCCGATGATAATCACGACCTGCTGCGCAATCAGTTAATTGAGGCTCAACGACAGGCGCACCGCCATGGGAACGAGGGTAGGGAACTGCGACTGCGTGTGGAGTCATTGGAAAAGGAGCTCGAAACCATGAAGGACAACCTTCTCCTCGCTCAGAGGGAATCTGACGATCGCCTCGTACGAGTTGAGGAGCTTGAACACGATGTTGAAAGACTCAGCAATGCGCTGGTTATTGCTCGTGGTGGTTCCGATGAGACCATGTTGGAGAAACTCAGCAACGAGAATGCGAATATCAAGCGGGAGAATGAGCAGCTTTCCCATAAGATCCATTTATTACTTGAGGTTGACCCAAGTAATTATCGACCTCTCTCAGGTATATCGGGTAGACCACCTAGTACATCCAGTTCCGAAAACGCCAAGGCTTTCGAAGACTTATCCAGTGAGCTCGATGGCTGGCAGAGGCAGCTTGCAAGCTCGATGAACAGTCGCCGACCGATGAGCGATTTTGACAATGAGCATGTAGCGAGATCACAGTCGTGATTGTTCCTTCTTTATGATCCCCCTCTAGATGCATATATATTAGTATACCTCCAGGAACATGGTGTATGTCCATTCAAATTTGGATATGTTGCTATTATTGTTGGACACCGGATGCAACCTAGTCTCGAATTCAGACGGTCCCAAACTATGTCTTATGTAAGCGCGCAGAGGAGAGTGGACGTCGGACCCTGTCGGTAGGGCTCATGCACACACCACTAACCTGTGCTTTCTTGTATATAACATTGCCCTCCGGGGCAGACCTGGACCCAAAGTTTCTGTTGGATCTGACTGGTTGAATGTATAGCAGGTTACATTCACATGTGCAATGGACACACTGTTAAGGAAACTATGTAGCACCATTTATCTGTGCTAGTTGTATGTGTGGGGAGCTACTCCCCATTGTTGTGGCAAACAGACATAAAGTTTGGTAAGACCCAGAGTAATCTCGTAGTAGCCACACCAGTGCTCCTCCATAGCACCTAGCTTCATCCTCACCATTGTAGCACACCTGTTATTGAAAGGAATCAGCCCAGCTATGAAGGGAGAACCTGGTAACACTGATGGACTCACATTGAAAAATGATGATGGCATAATCATGTGTGACTAAATACAAAAAGGTCAATAGAAATCACCGCAGACAATTGGCATTTGGACACCTGGAACCTACAGGTCCAGGAATATCTAATGGCATGCACAAAACCTTATTTTTGTCTTAAAAAATTGCACAGAAAGTTTTTCAGCTTGATTCTGCCCAACTCTGTGCTAGCCGAGTGTCAGAAATATGCAATGTGCAGTTGCCATTAAGAAAATGGAGTCGGACACAGTGTCACAACAAGCATGGATTTGAGTGGGTTACAGGCTGTCACAGATCACCTGATGTTAGTGGTGTGTGCATGAGCCCTACCTTTAAGGATTACATACAGAGTGCTTAGCAACAAGAAATCGGTCATAGCAAGGAAAATGGTGTCACAGGCGTCCCAGAAAAACTGGCAGGGCAGTTCCTGGTGAATTGGCAGGGGCAGCCAGGGAAATCACTTTATGACACCACATCTCTGGAACCTTATTTCCTTACTTCCTGAGCATCAATCTTGAGCACCAACATCTACCCAACATCTACCCGACTTGCACAATATCCTTGCTTCCCATCTGCACTGTGCTTCTGTCCATAATTACATCACCTGCAGTTGTGGATTGTTTTTCAAGTTGCATCTCAGTCAATATAGTGACCAAGTTATTTTTAGTACCACTAGTTCCTACGGTAATGACAAGTAAGCTTGTTCCAGCATCTTTCAAGTACCAAAATATAATAAACCGGTCATATACATGGGTATTTTACCCATTGTCCCACCCTCCTTGCAAACTATGAGCTTGAGAATCTTTGGTTTCTCCAGCATGAGCAGGGCTTTGATTGAAGAGTGCTCAGCCGGGTATATCCTAGGCTTGCCAATAATGATCCTCCCCTCAAGCTAGCTTTTGAGACAAAATCTCTTGTCACAGCTGCTTTTTGACCATTCACGGAGATATAGGCACATGTTACAAGGGCCCTGATATTCAGATTAAGTTAGTTGCTTCATGTTGGCTAGAGCCATTAGCAAGTAAAGGCCTACATCCGGATCTATGGCAGCATTTACTTCACAGCCTTTGTGTTCTCTTGCTGACAGCAAGGGAGAATACAATTGTTTCTGTTACGATAACACATTTTCGAACCTTTAATTTTCATTCTCCTCTTTAACCTTTTACTGTAGTTTTCACACTCCGTGCCATGCAGCACTTTCCCTTTTGTTCAAACTCCACTTTCTCACGCTGCACTGCCTTTCTTTCTATTTAAGATACAAGTCTCTCACGCAGTGGAGCTGGTCACACGGGCTGCGCCCTCTGACATCATCAGCCACTGCCTTCATCAACTGTATAGTACATATGTACAAACAAACCTGTAGTAGTATATATACCCCAGTAGATCAAGGAGACTCCTCAGCGAGTCCTCCTGTTGTATCCTCACAACTAACTTGTTGAAGCCTAAAGGGTAATCACTCCCTCATCATTATCTCTATAGCTTGTCTGAGTTGTGTGCCAGAGTAACAAACTCTTGGTTGTTACAGTTTCCATGTTGGTTTCAAGGCCCTCAGGATGCACTACAGATATCCTACAAGTCTCCATATCTTTCCATCATCAAAGTTTTCAACTGAAATTTATTTGTTCCAGTTTGTTTTCTCATGCAAACAAACACCCAGCCTACAATTCACATGGAATTCACAGTCTGCTAGTCACTCTTGCAGCAATCCCATTTTGAAAGCCAGTTTGAGTATCCTTTAGCCTTTGGGAGGGGTCATAACCATAGGCTTATAGGTGCTCAGTTTCTATCTATAGTTGCACTGTAGTACATTGGCATACAGGTGAAACAGGTTCTTTTTTATCTTACATATTTTATCCCACTTTTCCCAATAATTAATGCTCATGTGGTAGTCATAACATCATTATAGTCTATCTACTAGTTTCTGTATAGTAGCTTGTGTGTTGTATAAAAACTAACTTGAAAAAATTCACTGTGATAAAGCACCTGGAAAAGCTTTAATTTCAGCCAACCATCAAGCCAGAATTAACATACCTTAAGCCACTTAATGTCATTCATCTGTTCTTTCATGAGAACCTTGAAAGGTGTCCAGAATGTGGGGTAACTGATGCTGTTTACTTCAAGGAAAGAAACCGGACTTGTCTTATTTTATTGATGTTAGACAATATCCCCATTTTTTCAAGAGATACGGGATCACACGGGACCTGTATGACTTGATATTTGAGCTTTGTCCATCAACTACATCAGGAGGACTTGCTGAGCTATGTCATGGGTGAATGAAATATGTTCAGAACTTCATCTTCTTCAGTATTATAGATATGTGTAGGATTGCCTGCAAAGTTACACAAAGCAGCACAGCCATGCAACATACTTGCACCATGTGGTGCTATCAAGGCACTGTCTGCAAAGCATATAATGACCAACCAATTACTGAGGACCTTATCACAGACATCTACCTTACATCCATTGAACACAGCTGACAAGCAGTTAGATGGTCTGAAGCTTTGGTATAAGAAGTTAGGTGCTGACCTACCAGGGATGATTGTGGCAGACAACTGCTGCCATGTTCTGGCAGCTATAAATGTGTTCATGCCTGGCACACAGGTTGTTTTTGATGTTTTCCACTTTATGATGAGGTAAGCTTGAAATATTTTTTGTGTGCCAATTCCAGGACTTCTGCTCACCACTAATAGCTACCTGACAGCTATTGTTAATGGGATGAATAATACACATTGCTCAGCTAATGCAAGTAATATTAGTGAAACAATCTTCAAAACACCATCAATTGAATGCAAGGGTGTCAAATACTACAGTAAATAGGCTTACCTGCACTCATGCTCACTTGTTTTCACACCAGGTTCACACTGATTACCTGGCCCATGTGAAGAAAGGTTACCTGTTAAGAACTCATTAAGACTTTTGATCTGGTGGCAGCCGCATTGAAGGGTTGCATAAGGGCTGGAACTCCCTTATATACTTATTCACAAGTAGAATAGAGATGTTCACAGCCCTGGGCTGTGACTTTGTCCATCACTGTAATATTTGCACCAGCATCAACTTAAGAAACACAACTCCCTTCATTAAGTCTACCTATGGAAGCCACAACCTTCAGCCTGCTAGCAGCATAGCCAGCCAATGGAAGAACACTCATCCTATTTTACAATATTTGATAGTCTCTTATCAATATCAATCAAAGAAGAGGAAGATCCTAGGGCTGATAACCCCAGAACCTCCTCAATATGACTTGTAGCAGTGACATTGAGTCAGACATAATCCTTCAAGACTTGAACATTGATCCCACCCTAGTCTCCACCTTAACATGGTCCAGTCCCATCTGGCAGCCAAGCAGCATCTCACTAAGCAGTGTCTCCAGTTGCATCAAGTTTGGAATTTCCCTCAGTATATGCCAGGCAAAAACCTGTTCATGACTTAACTGGTGAAGAGACACCAGCCAAAATTGAAGAGCCTATGCAAAAAAAAGTACGGCTCACTACTGTGTCACAGTACTTGAAAGAAGAGCACACACTTGCTGTATCAAAGGTATGTCAATAGGAAACTCTTTGGCATTGTATATGAACTCATGTATTTCCCCAGAAATGAGTGTCTGGTTCAGGTTCAACAGCTATTCAAAGTTTTTCACATCCTACAAGTTGCTTGCTAACTCAAATACCGTCAAAGTTCAAACTGTGTCTCTGACAGTGCCAACCGCAACAATAGCTAGTGCTAGCTCACTTTGTACTGTATTGCCTAATGACAACAAGCAGAGGCTGACACAGTCCCAGCAATTATTCCATATTTGCAGTGGCATTAACCCTCAGTCCCTCATTATCTTATCTGATGCCAGGTTCTACCTTTTCATGGATATGATATTAGAGTACAAATGGACAACATTCAGCATGAATTCACACAAATGGGTGCAAGCTACTGACCAGTACAATATAAGGCCACAACAAAAACTTTAACATAAGGGCCCAATAGTCAAGAAAAGCCCATAAGCACTATTGGACAAGCTTGGTGAGATGAAGGGCCATAAACAAAAACTTTAACATAAGGGCCCAATAGTCAAGAAAAGCCCATAAACACTATTGGACAAGCTTGGTGAGATGAAGGGCCATATTATTGAGAGGGTAAAGTCACACTTCAGTCACCCCCAAACATAAGCATTTAGCTTCAACTATCTGTGTAAATGTATCAAGCTAAGAGCTTGTTTTTCCTGGTATTATCCCAAATGCTGTAGCAAGGATGAGATCATTGCAGAACTGGGATAATACTGACAAAACCGGATAAACCCGGTCTCTGCCAAAGCAGCCATTGTTCTCCACGGAGTCACCATTGTTCTCCTAGGAGCACAATTGTACTCCTAGGAGTCATTATAATATAGCGAGTAGCACCTCCAACTATAAGTAGTAGGGGGTTTAGTATAGAAGTA